CGTGACTAAGCCAACATCTGGATTCTTCAGAAACCGCAGCCCTTGCCTGTTTTATAAATTCCGCCTTTTTCTCGCTTACTTCTGGGTGCCTCTTCATAAAGGAATCGAATCATGTTCTACCTGGTGCTCCTTTAAAGAATTTCGGGCCGAATATCACATTCTTCTTGTATTTTTTGAGAGTACAGAAGACCTTTTTCATTTACAATAAAACCTTTTGCAGAACAGTCTAGGATCCAAAAAACCAATTTTTGTTCTACTTCCGGGCCAAGAGAACACGTTGAACTCACTTTTCGGCAATCATCCTTTGTTTTACCTTAAAATCTGTTTCGAACAGATGCTCTAAGGACATAAAATTGCGTACATGCTGTCAAAGCTGTCAAAACGGGCATAGACTGATGTCGGATGGCATTAAGTGCATTTTGCATGGCACCTACAGAATATTGCAATAATTTGCGGGGAGCCATAACTTTTCTGAAACAATAAAATTTCTGTTATTAGGTCCTCCTTTTCTACCTTGTTAGTATTAAATTTTGCCATCTCTTTCTCCTTTGTGGCCACAACTGGTTTTTATGTCCCATTTGTAGTCACTAAAAGACCACAACAAACTGGCGCAAAGGTCACCTTTGATGCTCTTGTTGTGGTCAATACTATTTTAATTATTTATGGGTTAAATATCTACTTAAAACTGTAAAAATAACTTGGAAAATTCCTTTATCAGTCAAATAACACTCATAATGAGTAAACATATTTACATTCTTACATATAATCATGCATTTACTTACCTCGTGTCCCTTAACAAAATCCTTAAGAAAAACACATCATCCGCGCCACGCGTTGGAAAACCTTCTGATGAAAAAAAAACCCGTAATCGACAAACCCAATTAAATGCGCAGGCGTGATCAAGATTGCAATACATATATAGTGGGATTTTAACTTATCTTATTGGCAAGGTTGAAAATGACGCTTAATATTTCAGATTTATTTCGTGGATGGCCACAAACGGTGCGAAGGCCACAGCAGGTGCATCTATCCTGGTCTGTAGCTTTTATCTCCGAGACGAAAGTTGGTTGAATAACAAGATCGCATCTGCAATTTTGGGTTTTTTTCTGCATGTGTATTAAATCAGTGATATTTGCTGTGCGAGAAAATCATTACTGAATGTGCTGCCAGGGATGTATATCTATTAGCTGTGCCCGACGGGTTATTTATATCTTGGCCTTTTTGAAGACAGGTTATGTTCAAAGTTATAAATTACGATTTAGGGTTAGCATGTTTATGACTTGTAATTCGACAGTGTACAGTGAATATAATTATCTCTCTCATTTTTGAATTCCAGCAAATTTGCATATGTAATTTTTAGAATGGATAAGAAAAAGTATTACTCCAGTATTGCCATCTCACATCAGACCCAAACATTGATAACTAAAGCCTCATGACGTTTAGGCAACACGTACAACTACAAAATGAGTTCATAACGTGTACATCAGCTAGTGCTAAGACTGCTAAGTTAACATCTTCTAGAAAAACCTACATAATGTCACATAAAACCAATACAATGTCAAAAAAAATCGACATAATGTCACTTTTCAAGATACGTAATACCCATGCAGTACTTTACTAAGAGCAAAGGTCCCGGACCGCTCTGACGAATAATGACGAATAGTATATCCATGCAGTGAATTTCTGATGTACAGGGTGGCCAACTAAAAATGCGAGGTACTGTACGTGTATCTTGAAATCTGGAAAATATATTCAAGTTTCTGAAATTGCCGCTAGGGGGCGATAGCGCAATCATAATGACTCTAAAAACTGATGTTTCTGGGAATTCTGCTATATTAATCTAATGAAAAAATACTTGATCTTAAAGTCGAGAATTATGTGAACTTACTGTTTGACAATTTTTGATGTATCTCTAAAAGTAACGTGGTGGGGGCTGAGTTGATTTTAACAAACTTGGACTAATTGAAAAGAGCTATTCTTGGGCTGCAAATGTTACAATATTTGAAGTTCAGTTAGTTTCGCATGTGGCCGCTAGAGGGCTTTTCGACATCCTAACAGAAATGCTTAATTTTAAAAAAATTAAATGCATTGGTATGCTTTTTTATAAAAGAGTAGTTAAATGATGCCCAAACAAGATCGCGAAAACCGCATATCGATATCGTGTTCCCAACCTAAAATTTAGCCAACAGAAAATTTTATACGGAAATGCCTTAAATTTCAATTTGTTTAAGCTATTTTTTCTGGAATACTTTTTTAATCATCAGAATAAAATCACCCTTTTTGAAAATATTACAAAATATCGCTAAAAGGTAAGTAAGCAATGCTAATAACAAAAGGCATATTTTTGGTTTAAATGCATATTCACTATGGGTATACACGAAAAAGACAATTAATAGAAGTATGACATGGAGTACACAACAGTAATACCTAACTAAAACATAAATAATCCTCAAATAGTTAATCGTTGTCAAAAGTTTCGCGTTACTTTGAGCAATTTTTGTGCATGCCAAATGCATTTCGCGAACGATGAAACTGTTAATATGCTTGCAGTTTATTTTGAATGTCTTCAGAATGCCGCAGTAGCAAAAAGAGTTGACGCCACTCGATATACAAATCGGCGTCTTTGCGATGTGAGAGCTTTTTCCCTGATTAGTGATGAGCTTATAGAACCAATGATAGGTTTTGGCGTACGTTTCAACTGCAAAGAATTGGAAGAACACAAGAAAATATTAACAGCTTACTGGAATATATTGAAGGAAATCCTCACGTTAGCACAAGGGCATTATCCCTATGGGTATATGACGAGAAACGGTTCTAAATATTTTGAAGGACTATAGGTAAGTTCTAATGGTCATCAAAATATAGGAATTCCTTTAGATTTTCAAATTCTTTGGACCGATGAAGCCACGTTTAATACTGACGGGAGAGTCAATCTGCAGAATATGCATTATTGGTCTGCATAAAATCCGCATTGGTTGCGTGAAGTTCAGCACCAAAGGCGTTAGAGTTTAAATGTGTGGTGTGATATACCGGGAGGGAGAATTATTGGGCCGAGCAATCCCTAAATGGCAATGTCTTTCTTGAGTTTTTGGGAAATCAGTTACCGTTGTTGTTGTGTGGGCCCCAGCACATTTTGCATTAACAGCGGTGGGTTGGAAGATGAAGTCTATTTCCATGGTCTTCGTAATCACCAGTCTTAACTTGTCTTGATTTTTGTTTATGGGGACCTACAACCAGAGAAGATATGTAAAACCGGATTCGTAATGCAATACGTAACATACCGAGAGCTGGAATTGAAGCTGCAGTTTTGTCTACCAATGAGAGGCTTCAGTAATGCATAGAGCGTGATATTAGCATTTCCAGCATTTACGGAGGCATTAAAAACTTTTTTAAATCGGTCCTTTTTAGAGCCACAGTTCAATAATAAAAAGCCATTCCAAAAAAAAATTAGATAAGGAACAAGAAGATATCGAGATGCGGTTTTCGCGAGCTCGTTTATACACCATTTTGCTACTTTTTCATAAAAAAATAATACCAATGCATTTAATTTTTTTGAGAAAATTGACTATTTCTGTTCGCCACATGTGAAACTAATAAAACTTCAAATATTATAACATTTGTAACCTAAGTATAGCTCTTTTCAACTAGCCTAAGCTTGTTAAAATCGGCTCAGCTGTTTCGGAAACCTTTGAATACTCCTCACCACTTTATTTTTAGAGATACAGCAAAAATTATCAAACAAAAAAGGTTCAGATTATTCTCGGATTTGAAGATCAGGTATTTTTTTGTTAGGTTAATATAGCGGAATTTACAGAAAAAATCAATTTTTAGATTCAAGATTGCACCCTCTACGATAGATAGGTTCCCAGGTACTGGGCCACCCTGTACATTAATTAATGGTTTTTCTCAGTTTTTTGAGTTGTCTGTCTTGAAAATGGATTTAATCTTACGTAAGTCTATTGATGTAATGATTTTAATTGAAATTCAATATTATTTGTGGCATGTCCTCATGAAGAAAATAAACATTTTCGAAAGCTTGACGTAAACAGAGTCACGTTCTATTTTGCCTTTTGCCTGACATCATTTTGCGTTTGGCTGCCAGTCAACCAAGACTACTCTCCTCCTTTCTGTATAAGCAACGTGCAGGAGCTAGAACTGAAAGGGAGGCGCTTTATATTCAATGACGACGAAGATGGGACATGACCAGTCATGGAACGTGGACTAGGAGACTGATTCCAGCAGTGGAGCAGTGCAGATAGATTACTGTTTCTAACTCATTTTGAAGATCCTTACAAGTGTCTTATAACACTAGAATGTAATATCACTCACCTTCAAAATGGCGGAAGGCCATCAAAGTTGAACATTTTTGTACATTGAATCGCTTATAGTTTATCTTCAACAATTTATAGTATGTTATATCGTTCTTTTTTCAGGGTCTATCTGAAGGTGCAATAAAATTTAATTTGATAATTTAAATAGTTTGACATATTTTGATAGTATTTTGAAATGGAATGTTTCATATTTTATTACATTATTGCAAGAGAAATATATAACATTTCATACATTTTTGATGATTGGTTGTTGAGTTATTAGAGACTCAATGAACAAAAGTGCTCAAATTTGACAGCCCACCGGATTGTCATCTTGAAACGTGGTGATATTATTTATTGGGGACATAAGGTATTGGTATGGAGCTTCAAAATGAGGTATTATACGACCTCCCGTTCCATTTGAAAAATATTCAAAAAAGGTCCCCATCCGCCATATTGGAATTATCGATCGCCACTTTCATGCTGAAATATACTCTCTCTAGTATTCATGCTTTAATTTTGTGAAATTTCAGCTTGCTAACCTGATCCAAGAACGTATCAGGCCGTGAGAGCCTGGCAGGGGAGACTTGACCCCCAAGGCCCCCCTAAATACGGCCTTGGATGAACTTGTCACCTGATTCGAATATCCAGTGTTTTATTTATAAGCTATAATCTATTTATTTTTTTCAGCAAACCTTGGTATAGTGTGTAGCGAAATGCACTATGGATGGCCTTCGCCCTACATGCCAGTCCTAGAGAATGGAAAATACACTTTCAGTGTAACAAGCGAAGAGGGATCGTGGTTGACTGTGATACCCCTTATAGGCGCAATGGTTGGAGCTTTAGCCACAGGTAAATATAGAGTGTGGTTCAAAAAGCAATGGAAATATTTTCAGATCACAGCGTGTTCCGAAACATGGCAACAAAATGTCCCTGAATGATGGCAAATCTTGCTTGGAATCTGTAGACAATGGGGATGTTTCAAAAGTTTTATTTCGGACTTCCATTGCCCATACAATTCTTGAGATCTTGTTTCGACAATCGATCGTGTGAACACAATTGAAGGTACATATCAATCGAAACGTCGTGATCTTAAAAATTGTATGAACAGTGGAACTTGGAAATATAACTTTTGAAAATCTCTCAGATCCATATTCGCCAGGAGCAAACTGCACACGGGCTGCGCTAAATCGATCGCCGCGCACGCGGTGGACAATAAGCGCAACATCAGCAGCCTGACAGCGAAATGCGTGGACTCTGTGGTGGATTCTGTGTCACATGTCACATGAGGTCAACTGAGGCTCTGAAAGGTGCTAAGATTCCGCTGCCGATGAAAAGGGAATTGTTAGTTTGAAGTTTCAATTTTTCCTAACTTCAAATCGACTAAATGTTTGACGTCTGTTTATTTTTATATCGTACGTGTCAAGCACCGATACTTTTGTCCGACATCCGCCAAGTGGTGTTGCCATCATGCATCCAGCGAAAAGAATACAGAACATTTTTCCAAGTTTCATAAAAAATATCCTGCGGAGCCACCCATACGGAAACATAGCAGGATTTCCTTAAACAAACATAATACGACAGTGTATAAAAGAACTAAAAGAAATATCGACAAAATGTCCTCAGGTAGTTTTCAGTGTGCAAATAGTTCATTCATTTACCCAACGACACGACATGCTTTGTTGGTTACCTTGGCTGCTGAAAGCCGAGTAGTCTGTAGTGTTTATCTCTAAGGAAATGTGAAAGAAAGAAAGTTGGTTGAGTAGCAAGATCGTATCTGGATGACTATGTGTATAAAATCAGTGATATTTGCTATGTGAGAATATTATAACTGAATATGCTGCCGAATAAGTATATTTAGTAGCTGTGCCCGACGGGTTATTTATATGTTGTCCTTTTTGGAGAGAGGTTAGCTCGAGTAAAGATAACATGACCACACAAGACCACCATTGAAATATACTCTACTAGGCTCTACAAGACTATCCGTAGCGCAATTTTTCTGAAATCAACACACACACACACAAAACACAAATGCAAATTGGAAAATTGACGCATTGACGTTCGAAATGGCTCCGTCGGTACCTCAGGCTAGACATAAGTTTTGGCAGCTGACCTAGTTCTACTTTGTCACTTGGATTCCGGTGTTGCTAGCTCATCTGACGTTTTTGCCTTTGCTGTTTTGTTAGAATATTATGACAAAAAAAAAAGGTTTGAGTAGAATATTGAGGTATACCAATGGAGAAACATAAGAATTAAGGCGAAATAATGTTTGCCAAACAGCTAAAGGTGATTCCGATAAATATACCCATTGTACGTGCAAGAACATACAAAATAAGACTGGTGGTGTTTATGTTTAATGAAAACTTGTATTTTCACGAATTGTTATCAAATTTTTAATCATTTATATCTTGTGTCCACAACTTGCACATAAACATAGAACGATTATTTATATTGTAGATTTCCATGTGTATGAATAGTGTGTGTCTAAGAATTTTGGGGTAACATCAGGAGTAGCATCATATTTTTATATTTAAATTACAGTAAAATACTATACATAATAATAAGAATAATGCATTTAACAAAGAAATCAACTTTTTTAGGATACATATGGCAAAACAATTAAACAATATATTTTTTTACAAATTTATATACAGGGTGACTTCGAAGTTGAGTCATTTATTTTAACAGCAAGTAGATCTGATCAAAAGAAATGTTTTTTTCCTTTAAAATGTTTCTGGTAAAATTAAAGTAACAAAGTTATAGCCCTTTAGAAGTTTGAGTACCGCCCTGTCTCAATAATAATATTATGTGCTCGTGTTTGGCGACAACGGATATAATCCGCATCGGTTCATCGCATCGGAAACAAAAAAGCGAAAGAATTTGAGACGCTGATCACTATGTTTTTAGTTGGATTCAGTCGGTAACGCGTGAGTGAATAGTGATGTTTGTTGCGTGGCTCAAACGAAATAAAAAATGGCACATGTTTACGAAAACGCTGAACTTGTGGACCCAATCGAGTGCAACCAACCTCTCGTGCCTTTGTTGATGTAGTACAAAGGGCTCGTGAATCAGGTGACTTACAGGGGAGGGCATGCCGGATGCCGGTGCTCCAAGACCGCACGATCAAATACAGGTCCGCACTGAAATACTTGTCGGGAGGATACTTTATAAAACAAGGTAAAAAAATTTTTTTATTTTTGTTTTTATTTTTACACACATATTTTGGTTTATCTTCCTTCTACAATCACTATTTGAAAATTAATGACTCAACTTCAAAGTCACCCTGTATATTATACAAATTTATATATAGGTTTTATATTTTTTAGTTGTCTTACCATATTAATCCTGAAAAGTTTAGTTCTTTGTTAAATGCATTATTTTTATTATTATGCTTAGTATTTTACTTTATTTAAACTTCAAAATATCATGTTACTCTTGATATTACCTCAAAATACCTAGACACACACTATTTATACACATGGAAATCTAAAATATAAATAATTGCTTTATTTTTATGTGCAAATTGATGACACGATATATATAAATGATCAAAGATTTCATAAAAATTCGTAAAAATATAAATTTTTATGAAACATTAACACCACCAGTCTTGTTTTGTTTGTTCTTGCACGTACAATGGGAATATTTATCGGAATTACCTCAAGCTATTTGGCAAACATTATTACGCCTTGAATCTTATGTTTCTTCATTGGTATACCTCAATGTTTTATTCAAAACTTCTTTTCTGGAAACCTTCTAATAAAACATCAAATGTTCCAAAAACGCGTCCAATAAACTGTAAACACCGCGATCCAGGTGACAAGAATAACAAAGTAAGCCGCCAATACTTATGTCTAGCCTGGGGTGCCGACCGAGCCATATTGAACGTCAAGCCGTCACTTTTTTATCTTTACTCGGGCCAAAACATGTTATATCATTTTTCCTTTCATAAATATTCCTGTCTGAAGCATGTTTTCACACCCTTTACTTGTAATATACTTCACCAACCAAGGATTTTCTTTTCAAATCTCTCTCATTTTTGAAATTCCGCAAATTTGCATACGTAATTTCCAGAAGGAATAAGAAAAGGTGGATGCGCAACTAATTCATAGCTTTGAGTACATCTCAAGTAAGTGTATTTGAGACAAGAAACTAATGGAATTATCATCAACAGAGATTATTAGCACACAAATCCTCACTATACACATATGCACTGCTGTTTCTTTCCTGCTATTACCTTATTACTAACTTACAGCCTGGACCTCCAATAATGCCATCTCTGAAGCAGATGTTACAGCACATCAGAGCCAAACATTGATAACTGAAGCATCTTGATGTTGAGGCAACACGTACAGCTACAAAAGTTCACAACAAGTGTACAATAGCTAGTGCGAAGTTGACATCTTGTAGAAAAACCTATGTTATGTCACAAAAAACGACAAGATACCTAATACCCGTGCCGACTGGATTCCTGCCGTTGTATTCAGGTGTAAGAGGTGTGCAGCGGAGCTTGATCCATTTATTTCGCGTTTCTTTCAGATATCTTACGAATCCGGCACCTTCCCAGAATACTGGGAATTTGCTCATGTCCAGCCCATTCCAAAAATTGGATCTAAGACCGACCCTTACAACTACAGGCCTATAGCTCTGCTTTCTGTTATAAGTAATGTGAAGGAGAGGTGCATAAATCGCGAGCTTCTGAGCTACTTCGAATATCAGGGCTTAATTAGGCAGTACTTATGGTTTCCGGCGCCAGCCATCCGCTGCGGACCGCCTAGCTTACGTCACGCAATTGAGGAGTAAGCTCATCCAGTCTTATGGTGAGGCTCAAGTGGCTGTTCTTGATATCACAAAAGCGTTCGATCAGCTGTGGCACGCTGCCCTCTTATGCAAACTTGATTTCCTTGCTGGTCGCAAGAAGTAATTGACGGGTTCTCCTCTTGATCCTACAAAGTCAACGCGGGTGTTCCCCAGGGATCAGTCTTGGCTGCGATACAGTTCCTCTTACATATCAACGACCTAACCCACAGCTTTGCTGATGACAGCACTCTACATGCATGGATTCACAGTGACAAGCCGATCTCTGCCGGTCAGCTGGAAAAAAGAAGACTAGCAGCTACTTCCTCGCTGACGAGAGACCTAGAGGGTTATATCTTTTAGGGGACGCAACAATCTTGTACAGTTTATTGCTTCCAAAACACAGTACAGTACCTTGACGAACAAAAAGCGTTCCAACGCTCATCCGGTTTCGATGGATAGCTGAGTTCTACCAAAGAGCCGTTCATTTCGAGTGGTCGCCGAGGACTTGATCTGGCACGAACACATCACTTCAATAGCGGCAGCTGCTAGGCAAAAGCTAGGCTATTAAATTTGCTTAGATCTCAGAAGTACTTTTCTCAACATGACCTCCTCACTCTATACAAGGCCCAAATGAGACCCAGCCTCGAGCATTGCTCACATCTACCCCTACTACATAATCCATGCTCGACGTTTTTCAGAGGAGGGCTGTCCGACTGATCGATGACTCTTCTCTAACAGACAGTCACGGTACCCTTTCGCATCGAGGGGGCGTCGACGATCTAGCTCTCTTCTACCGCTACACCAATAAGCTTTGTCCCTCAGAGCTCTCCTCCATGATGCTTCCGTGCGATGTGGTGGCCAGACACACTCGCCTGACTTCCTCCCTTTCTAACACTATCGAACTTCGTATATCCAAAACTGGCCGATTCGACCGCTCCTTTGTGTCTAGGTTGTCGACATTGAGGAGCAGTCTACAAGAAGAGGCTTCTCCCAGTTCCAAGTTCAACAGTCAGATTAACAAAGTTTCTTTGGGATCCTTACGGCAGACGCGGAGCACTGGCATTTAGACTTCTGCCTACGCAGCTGCATCGGTTTAAAAAAACTCAACTTCATTAATACAACAGACAGGTGATTTGGTTTGGATTGGACAATTTGAGGGGAGTAAGGTACAAATGCTTCCGTTCTGTTAACATTGAAAACCGTTTTCCAACATTATGCCGATTATTAGGGTAATCAAGAAAGACAACTGCTCAAAATTACTTATCCCACAATCGTTGTAAAATATTTAGAAATATAAGGTTCAGTTTTAAAACTGACACAATGAAGACGACAGGTAACAATTTTAAATAACTTGATTTTTCATCTAGGTGTTTTTATATTTTTATCATTTTCCCACTACTGCTACTGCTCAATAGTACAATATTGTTAATAATGGTGTAGGTGATAAATATATTTACAGGACAATTAAATTTATTCGACAAATTTCTTTTCAATGCAAATATTTCTTCGCACTAAATAGCGACTACTGTGCGGGGGTACAACTTTTTCCGATGTTGTACAGTAACTTTCTTTCAGGAATGATCGTGGACATATTTGGTCGCAAACGCCTGATAGTTCTCTCTTCATTACCATTCTTTGCCTCCTGGTTGATGGTAGCCCTTGCCAGCTCTTCCACTTTGATGTTCATCGGACGATTCATCGCGGGACTTTCGGACGGCCTCTCTTTCACAGCGGTACCCATGTACCTGGGGGAAATCTCAGAGTCTAAGATTCGGGGTTTGCTAGCCTCCATTTGTCCTGTCAGCGTGATCTTTGGTGTTCTGTTAATCAATGTGCTCGGAGAGCATTTGTCGCTGCAAACGTCTGCGTACATTGGGGCGGTCATACCGGTAAGTATCATGTTGAGTCTCTTTTACACAATCGCCCACACTAAAGTCTATTTATCTAAGACAAACATTAAACCAAAACACTAACTAGCGCGTACTCAGTGCGTGAGCAGCACGTTGATATATTTCAGCATAACTGTTATTAGGCAGAATCGGTCGAGCTCATAGACAGGACCAATGCCAAACCAGGAAGGTGGAGTGGGTGACGTTACGGCGGTGCATGCATCCTTACCGGCCTGGTAACGTGCTTGAGTTCAATCACGTTAAGTATGGGTAAATATGTTTGGGTTTAGTTTCTTCATTCGATGAATGGACGGGCTTGAACGGTGAATAGTACTGATAATAATGACGCCAGCGAAGACTTTTTGTGTCACGTCAAACTGAGAGTTTCTAGTGCTTTTATCTTGCTGCCTCGTTATGATTTTCGTTATTCTAGGTTTGTAGAGTATCGAGGATACCCTTTATTCTCGGTTATGGAAATTTCACTATTTACTGAGCATAAGCGAGATTCTAATTCGCAAGGTTATTTTGTCTATATTCAGCGCTGTTGCCGGAATTCATAAGGCGAAAAAATCTACTATACAATTTTTAAAGTTAAAGATATATTGATTAAGATTTAATTAGAATAACTTTAGATCACCTGTTTAAGAAATGGGCAGTGCTCTATGTGGATTGCATTGTCCTGATTCTTGTTATACTGGGTGCTACTTAATAGGAGGCTATGATTGCACTCCTGAACCAAATTTGAGTGAAAAAGTTTATATAAACAAGAAAACAGAGGATAAACAACAGCAAATTGTTATAGAAAGTAAAAAATATGCTCATAACCAAAAAACATTATTTTGTAGCAACCATCAAAGGTCATTTGATCTTTGAAAATTTTTTTGTCGCATAATATAAACCTGCTTTTGTTTTTTTGTCGAAAACGAAGTAAGATCCGAAGGGATGCCAGGAGACCAAAAAATGTGTATCATTAACTTCGTACATCTTTTTGTCAATATTATTCGTGAGACTGTCCCCCTATACGTCACTAGAACTCATAATGCGTTTAGATAAGCGATCTCAACGTCTTATTGTAATGATCAATATTGCTGAAATTCAACATGATCGACACAAAGATCTTTGAGATATTAATCAAAGGCCATTTTTTGGAGCTTTGATACCAGGTATCTTGAAAACCAGACTTCATAGGATACATATATATACTAAGTGACATATAAATCCGAACACCCAGTTTAAATGGTTTTATTTTAATAAAATTTTGTATAAGTACTTAATGAAGCATAATAAGTAAATGATAAAAATTTCAAAATGATTGCACTGCTTTAAAGCCCTTTGACCTTTAATAATGTGTGGATGCACCCTGATGTGCTACGCATTCTCCAACGCGCCTAGGCATGCTTCTGATCAGGTGGTCAATGTCCTCCTGTGGTATCTCATTCCAGGCAACCACCAACTCCTCTCGAAGTGCTTCTAGAGTCTGAGGAGAACGTTGCAAATTGAGCAATCTCCTACCCATCATACCCCACACGTGCTCAGTTGGGGATAAGTCGGGAGATCTTGGTGGCCATGGTAACAATGTGACATCATTATGTTGAAAGAAGTCTATTGTGACTCTTGCAACATGTGGTCGGGCATTATCTTGTTGGAAAGTTGGATCTGCCAGGGTAAAAGATGGGGTTCTCGAACTTCGTGGATATAACGCTGCGCGTTCATGTTACCTCTGATGAAGATTAAAGGTGACCTAGAACCATAAGCTATAGCACCCCACACCATAACACCAACAGTGTGATGAACATGTCTTTCAACAAAAAACTGTGGATTCCTCCTTTCACCAAGTCGCCGTCTAACCCTGGCACGACCATCGTGCATGTCTAAACAAAATCGAGACTCGTCACTAAAGACAATACTGTTCCATTCCTGATCCCAGAGTGACCGTTGTCTGCACCGCTCAAGGCGGTGTTCTCGAGTTAAAGGGAGGACCCAGTGTGGCCGGTATGGAAACAAGCCAAAACTTCTCATTCGTCAGTAAACACTTCGCATGACAATAGGTCTTCCGTGTTCTGCAAACCATTCATTTGCAATGGACCTGGTAGTGGAGAAACGGTCCCTTAAAGCCAATAATCTTAGGCGGCGATCTTCACGGTCTGTTGTTCTACGGCGGCGTCCAGTGCCCCTTGCTCTTTGCGTACGGCCTTCTCGAAGCCATGCCTGACAACACCTAACCACAGTGTCTACACTTCTTTGCACTCTAACTGCAATTGCCCGAAAAGAAAGTCCAGCTTCCCGAAGTCCCACTATACGGCCCCTATCAAACTCACTAAGTTGACGAAATCGTAAAGGTCTCCGTACTCTAGACATCGTAACCGATCGTAAAGGATGTCAAGAACCAAAATCCGCCAACGTTGATTCTTTACTGCGGCTGAAATATTTATTTTTAGAGCGTTAGTGAATTAAAAAAAAGCAGTATAAAAACCGGAATGTCCAACTGATAAGGCTGAAAATTTTTTCACTTGTTATTTACAGTAAGATAAATACATTCACCAACTTTTATTAAAATAAAACCATTTAAACTGGGTGTTCGGATTTATATGTCACTTAGTATATATATATATATATATATATACAGGGTGTTTCAGTTTATTGTTGCATAACTTTAAGATTCGATAGAACTTTTAAAATTAATGCATAAAGTCTATATAAACATGGGTCGAAAAATGCGTGGCTTCCGAAATACAGGGTGTTTAAATTTACTTTCTAAAATTTTTTAAATATTTCGAACAATATTTGATGTACAACAGTGAAAATTGGTATAAAAGGGTTTTTGGTTCGACAAAACGAACCATGGGCGTAGTTTTACTGTAGCCGCTAGAGGGCGCTCTCTACTGTACCTGTAGTGTATTAAAATGACCAAACATTTTTTCTTAGTGCAATTTTTGGCTTTTTGAATAAAAAAACTGACTCCTCGCACTTTTCAACATAAAAAAGCTCTCTTGTGGATGTTCGTTATAAATAGCCGTTTTTGAGATATTTCGATTTTTAAGGTTTGATGCATTTTTTATTAATGATAAAATAACGTTAAAAAGTCAGTATCTCGATGATTTTTAGAAGTAGGCTGTGCCTGCAAACATTTTTGATATTGAAAGCAGAATAAGGTTAAACGTCAATTAGTTGACAGTTAGTTTTGTTGTCTGTTGAAACCTGAAACGTTTTTTTGCAATTGTGAATGCACGAAATTTAGTTTCTTTTACCTGTTTTTTTTTGTAAGTTTTATAAAAATGCCATTTTTATTCTCCAATCAAGCGTTAGCGGATATTCAGTTTTGTGTATGGCTTTGTAAATGGAAACGCAGTAGAAGCAGCCAGAGAATACGCACGAAGATTTCCAAACAGACGACATCCAACTCGCTCAGTATTTGTAAGAGTGCATCGCCAAATAATTGAAAATGGTTTTGGGAATCTCCAAAGGGATCAAAACATAAATGTTTGACAGCGCAGATTTACCCGTATGGTTCTGCGTGAGTTTGATAGAGATCCGACCACACGTGTTAGAAGAGTTTCTGGTGCCTTGGGAACGAAGAATCACATTTTGTCAGTGGATTCTTGATAGAACTGATAATAATAGGGAGTTTTTAAGTAACGTTTTATAGACCGATGAGTCATGCTTCACTAGACGTGGAGTGGTAAATTTTCATAATCAACATATTTGGTCGCATGAAAATCCGCATGCAGTTCGGGAAAGAAATTTTCAGCATGAATTTAGTGTGAACGTGTGGATTGGTATCTACCGTAATCGACTATTTGGACCCTACCTTTTGCCTGCAAGGTTAAATGCTGCGACCTTCTTGGAATTTTTAAAGGCTGAACATGCAAATATGTGGGATGATGTTATGTTAGATTCAAGAAGATTGGCCTGGTTCCAGCTTGATGGTTGTCCAGCTCATTATTCGAGAATAGTTAGAAACTGGCTGGACGACAATTAACCAGAAAGATGGATCGGCCGTGGAGACCAGTCGCCTGGCCTCCACGATCCCCTGACCTAAATCCATTAGATTTCTTTGTGTGGGGATTTCTAAAAGAAAAAGTGTACCAGACTCCCGTAACCTCAAGAGATATGCTAATAGACAGAATCAGGAATGCATGTGATGAAATAAGGCCTTATTTGAATAATGCTACCACGTTCGATCATTCGTAGATGTGAATTGTGTATTGAACAATTGGGTTTACATTTCGAGCAACTACTTTAGATTTTGTATGTTTGTCCTAACTATCCAATAGCATTTTAGTTGTAAATAATTAATTTGATTTGTTAAAAATAATATTGGAAAATTAAACAAATTAATATTGTTTTTTTGTGTTTATTTGGAGTTAGGAATTATTGCTGTATTTAAAAACACAATCTAAACGATCATCTTAATTACTTGTAATGCCCAAATCGAAAAAGTAAAAAAAATATTATTTTCCCATAAATAATTAAAAATGCATCGAACCTTAAAAATCGAAATATCTCAAAAACGGCTAACTATAACGAAAACTCACAGGAGAGCTTTTTTATGTTGAAAAGTGCGAAGAATCAGTTTTTTTGTTCAAAAAGCAAAAAATTGCACTAAGAAAAAATTTTCGGTCATTTTAATACACTACAGGTACAGTAGAGAGCGCCCTCTAGCGGCTACAGTAAAACTATGCCCATGGTTCGTTTTGTCGTACCAAAAACCCTTGAATACCAATTTTCACTGTTATACATCAAATATTGTTCGAAATATTAAAAAAAACTATTTTAGAAAGTAAATCTTTCGGAAGCCACGCATTTTTCGACCCATGTTTATATAGACTTTATGCACTAATTTTAAAAGTTCTATCGAATCTTAAAGTTATGCAACAGTAAACTGAAACACCCTGTATATGTGGATGCATTAACGGCCAGAAGGAGAAAAGTTCTCTTAAAAAATTAAATCTTTTATTCACAAAAATCAGCGAAATTTGCATATGTCACCACAACGTTATTGTATTTTGCTATTTTTTGATATCGTTTTTAATCTATAAATTTTTCAACTGTTTTTTGAGACATCTTGTATAACTAGTGAAACAATTAAAGGTAGTGCTCCTGATCACATACTCATGGATGCCCGAAAGTCCTTACTTCCATGTAATGAAGGGCGAGACTGAAGAGGCTAGAAAGAGCTTGGAAATCTTTAGAGGAACTAAGGATGTCGACGAGGAACTGAAGAGAATCTCAGAGGCAGTGAGACAACAAAACGAGGTCAAAGGATCTATATTAGATTTATTCACCGTTAGGAGTAATAGAAAAGGATTGCTCATTACCTTAGGTAAGACTTTATGTAAATTCTGTTCGATAGTCGATTGTACAGACAAGCCGACGTCGAATCTAGGAACAAATATAACGATGCGGTTTGCAATGCCAATTGCAAGCTGGACGTAAAAATTAGGAATAGCGTAATATCGCAGGGAAACGACAGTCGATCTTTCTGGACGCTGGCCAGGTAGATTGAAGGGTACTTCTCAAAGAGTAGCCTTCCACCGCTTACCTGCCAGGATGGAACGACTGTAACCGCCTCAAAGGCTAAGGCGGGAGTGCTTGCCAAGCTTTTTGCTGACAACTCCTCTCCATTAACGCCACCTCCCCCAAGACCGAGTGCCGTCGATTCAAAAGATTTCCTACACTATGCGAGTAGGACCCTTCAGACATAAGACCGTAAGACGGATGCTCTTGTCGCTCGACATCAACAAAGTTTCTGGTCCGTTGTACTGAAGAGAGGTGCAGCGAATCTTCCGGATATCTTACGAAACCGGTTTTTTCCCGAAAACCATAAATTTGCTCATGTCCAGCCCATCCCCAAGAAACTAAGACCGACCCTCGCAGCTACGCGCTCTATAAGTCAGGACATGGAGAGGTGCGTGAATCGGGAGCTCGTGGGGTATCTTGAACCTCACGGCTTAATTAGCGACAGGCAATATAGTTCACTCTAACAAAACCGAATCAAAATTTGTTTAATTCAGCTCAAAATTAATCCATGTACCAAGTCACAAAGCCCAGGTGTCTCCTCTTAAACTAAACACTTCTGTTTTTCTTTGCTCTTCTCCATTTTTCTTCTTTTTCCATTTCTCTTTTTCCTTGATATTGTCTGATTTCTGGGCAACCAGTACTGACAGATTCAACTAGCGTACATTAGACAGTGACAAATGGGCAAAGGTCCTACGGACCGCCCAGACAAACAAATGACTAATAGTAGTAGGCAATATAGTTTCGTGGACCAGCGATCCACATGGAACCTCCTTACGACACGCAACTGTCTAGTAAGGTCATTCATTCATATGGTGAGGTTCATGTCATTGCACTTGATATCACGATAGCGTTCGATCGGCCGTGGTATGCTGTCCTCTCATACAAGCTTCAATCCTATGGCCCCCCAGAGAAGTTTGAAAATGACTTCCTCTCTGTTAAAGGACAAACTCGGTAGGAGCAAAAAATCAGGGCCGTCACAAGATCAGCGGTGGATCAAGGGCCTTTGCGTCATGCAGTTCCGTCTATAAAAAAATTGTATTTCTTACCGCTCACACACACACAATCTCTGCCTGAAAAAAATATTAACTTGCTCATTACCGCTTGTACAATGAGCATACTGGTTGCACTTTAAACCCCCTTACAACCATTTTCTTTTCTTGTTTATATGATTGTGAATGTGTGCCCTAAACTTTAAGCGCCTCATCACTTGACTTTTAAGTTTAACATTGGATTAAAAATTGACGAGATCTGGGATACTATTCTCGTTCCCGTCAGAACGTTTACCGACAACTGTCGGTAGACGACGCAACCAAAGACTTCATGCCCTAGCCTAGATGTGATGAGCTCGTGCATGGATTAGAATGGACAGGTTTACCATGTCAAATTAAATTTCAGGATAAATGAAACAAGATGGCGCAAAAATTATTAATTTATCTCTAAAAACAAAAAAGTTATAGCCTGTCAAAGTTGCGCTTCCCCAAAATATTTTTATTCCGTCTGAACGCGACGCGTGACGTCACACTTCTCTATCCACTTGCAACGGCCGTGGCCGACTCCTGGACCCGAGACGCACATATAGGTACATATGCAGCGGTAACACGTGGAAGGCTACTCGTCTTGCGCGCTAATTTGATTAATTACACTGCATATACCTGTTCGATCGGCTATGAGAGAAATAACAAAAAAAATTACAACCGCTAATAAACATTTTTTCTACGTACCCTCACATGAAAATACCAGGAAGAAATGGTGCAAACTTATGAAGCGTCATTTGATTGGACCAAAAAGTATAACATATGTCTATGAAGACTACTTTGATATGTGTATACCAATTTACTATTTATTTATGATTATCAGATATTATATGATTTCCAAGCTCATTTCACTGCACAAACGGCATTTGGGGGGTAATATATATCAACTAATATTACAGATCGCTTATTTCAACTCAGCGAGAATAGATGTGAGCTACTAACAGTGTCACTCACCCCCATAAAAAGGCGTCAAGTAGGTTAACTCTGTACTGCATATATGTGCAATGTATGTATAGTTTAATGGGATTTTACAAAAGTAACATCTTTATCAAATTAGGTTACTTCAAATTTCGACTCCGAGTCCTTTTTCGTTATTATAGATTGAGAACGATACTGAAAATCTGATAAAACATAAACTAGTCGGTGGAAGATTGAAGCTGAAAGTCGGAGTAAACCCTGATAAGTTTGAATGCCAAAAAAGGTGCAAAGTGAGACATTACTTGGGTCTTATTAAGTTTTTACATTCATTAATGAGTCTATCGAAGAAGTTAGGATCCTCTACTACGTCTAAATTTGGAGAACGTCCACTTTCGTTATTGAAATCTTTAGATAGCGCCAGTTTCATCCAGTAACATTCTACTGGAGTACTTGCAGGTTCCTCACTTCTTTTCAAAAGCCAGATCAAAAACATGAATGTGTGTTTACATCCAATAAGCTTAGCAGCGCAATTATGACACACAACAGTTTTAATTTTTTCCTCACTTTCGTCACATACCAATGTGCAGTGGTAAGGCGTAATTTTCACTTTATGTTCAGGTGTAACTCTGTGTTTTACAATGCATTTAGTACCGTCACGTTTCAACTGAACATACTCGTAATCAATAGCATCTCCACGATACCAATCTCTACCTGCGCTGGAAAATGTGTCATAATCGCAAATCTGTACTCATATCAGGCATCAACACTAATTTGTTCAAAACCTCAGTAGATTATCGTACATTTTACAGCTAGTTGTGATAGTATGGCAGTAGGCGTAACTCCTTACTTCCAAAGTTTCACACCTTTCATTTCCGCGCTTGTATGTAATCAGCGGAAAGCCCTAACAACAAATGTTATGCAATGTCTGCCCGCGGAGTCCGTGAGTTGAAACCTGATATTTAACGTCCAAAAAGTCCATCCACAAAGCAAAATTTACCGCCCGGTCGTAGAAAATCGATGTTGATTGTGTAATAGGCGTATGTGTCTATTGGGGCTTGAACTTCCCACCGTTTATTGTGAAATATAACCTCATCTTTTACTTATATATGCGATATGCTGTTTATGCCACTGAAATCTGCAACGGTCGTCTCTAAAGTGATCTGAAACGACGGCACATACGAAACTAGCTCTCAAATTCTGCCATTTCAGAACATTGTATTTTTAGTCCATCAAGTTATATGCCAGTTGCTGTGCCCCGCGTTTTAGTTCCTACAAGAACCAGAATAGTACCCCTGGTTCGTTTATTTGCGGGTCCGGTGATGCGGCAACGACGCTGTACGCACAAAAACCAATACAAGAAAAGCTGAGTAAGGGATATGTGTACATAATTATAGGCGACCCCACTCGATGTTTCTCATGTGCCCGACTAAGTGTACCAATAAGCATGACAGATATGGGGTATCAAATTACATAGACTACATAGAATTAAGTTTCTAGCTTTATTTTTGGTTCTAGCTCCTTTTCGGTAAAAAATCTGGAAATATGTGGATTGTTTTTAAGAATCGTGGAACAATGAGGAGTTTTCGGTATTTCCGTAAATAAGGTCTCATTTAGGTACAAATACCGAACAATTTGTAGGTTTGGAGACATTGCTCTACAGTCCCAACCGGTAGCTGCTACTCACTCTTCACAGTGGTCGATTCTAGTGGTAGATGGCGCTTCGTGTTGTCTTATTGTAATGGGCCTAATATTTATTATCTGAAGGTAGATTTATAGGTGTGGATCTAGGATCTTAAAGACCCGAAGCACAAAGTTCGTATGGTTAACGCGCTCGGGGGAAGGGTTGGGGGATGGAGTTGGCTAGAACGTCTTGCTTTTGCTCTGAGGTCGCATAATCCGCGTTCAGGGGCACCCTTTGGACCCGGGGCCCGAGGCACACTGCGCCGTGTGCGTTATCTTAGAATCGGACCTGGGTTTGAGTTTTGTTCTTCCTATCAGAACAGGCTACTATACGTATAGCCCCCACATACTTTCTACATGTTCATATATTTTGAAGAAACATCTTGACTATGAAGTCGATTCACGCTCTCTGGTAAACTTATCGATCTGCATTTTCTATATATAGACAAAATAATGGTACATGCTTGTAAATACCTAAGAAATATATTTATAATTTCTATTTTTCCGTGAATAGTGTTAATGATTGAAGGTAATTGATTGTTTTCTACCTCACGTGCCTCTCTGAATCAGCAAGTTGAGATATTATTTTGCTGCGGATAAGTACAAAAGTATAATGCGTAAGTCGTGACATTCATAGAATAATCAGGAAAATTAGATATTACTCCATAAATCTAAGTTAGATGAAACTACTAATTCAACAGCGTTTGCTTTTCGGTGTAAAAGACCATTCCTACTTAGCTTACTTCTGGTTCATCTGTTTCCATGGCTAGACCTATACCGCTCTGATCAGCTGTTCACTAGCACGGAACAGCGCTGTCAGTGGTTGCCCATGGTTTCAGAGATAGAGAGCAAACATGTCAACAAATGTTAGTGTTTCGATTATGATACCTATAAACAGGAGGACTTTCAAAATTTATTGGTTACTATCAGATACTTACTTATTGTAGGAAGCTTGATGCAGATCATATACGTATTCTTGATCTATTCTTTCCGATACACCTTTAAAATCATTAGTATGTATGTACCATTTCAGCAGGAAATGTTCAAGATTTCAAAACTCGAATCAGGAAGAGTGGCCCTGATGCTTTTGAAAACATAGAAGTCAGTTAATAGAAGATTGGATTCTAACTGGATGTAAAATGATCTTATAAATAAAGTATTACTGCTATATATTTAATTCACCTTACGAGTTAATAATTTGAAGTATTACGGAAATCGACTAATATATAACAGCAGCAAATTGTATTGTTCGTATTCTCATGTGACTGAAAAAAAGTCTACGTTTAGTCGGTCAATTTCAAAGGGCATTTAACAAACTTCATTGTGGAAAATAACTGAGTTGTGAATTTTCTCTAACACTTGGTTTTTGCCTCGTCCAAAGCTAACGTAACTTATAGCAAGTTTAGTCGACGGCCTGTAATAAGTACAACTTGTTTAGTTACTTTATGCATTAAACAATCTCATCGCACTAGACTCCATATCTGCTTGGTTAATAAACTGCCAACACGCAATGATATTGAAAACGAATTTCGTCTTCAGGTTTGCGAGGATTCCAGCAACTCAGCGGTACTACAGCCATCATCTTCTACTGCAAGACCATTTTCGAAGAATCGAAAGACTTCATCTCAGCGGGTACTGCCACCATAATCTACTTCTCAGTACAACTGGTACTATCAGCTTTATCATCCGTCATTGTAGACTTTGCTGGTAGACGACCTCTACTGATCATATCTACAACTGGGACAGCAATCACTCTACTGATCCAAGGAGTGTTTCTATATTTCAAAATCTGTACTGATGTTGATATGTCTCGATACCACTTTGTACCAATAGTAGCTTTGCTAAGTTTCGTTATAGTTTTCAGCGTGGGACTGCAAACCATCCCGCTTCTGATGATGGGCGAAATATTCCCTACAGACGTCAAGGCTATTGCCTTATCTTTGATGGATCTATACTACAGTTTGATCGTGACGATCATATCACAATTCTTTCATTGGACCAAAGAAGTATATGGCTTGCATGTCCCATTCTTCACATTTTTTGGTTGTTGTTTAGTAGGACTGTTGTTCATTATTTTCTTTGTACCTGAAACCAAAGGTAAGACATTAGAAGACATTCAAGCTGAATTAAAAGGTGTTGCTAAGGTGGTAGACACCAAGAAGCTCAGCAGAGTAGAATATTATTGATTAAGGCTTTATTTTCTATTGTTTTCATGTAGAGTGAAATTTAGTTATGTATTTTTAATAAAGAACTAGAAAAAAGTATTTTACCTACTAAAATTCATCCGACAATATTTTTTATGCCAGATACATGCCTAGAAGGAATTTAATGTTCAAAGCTCAGTGGCGTTACACAAATTGAACGTGATGGGGTTACGTGGTAGTTTACATATTACTTAATTTATTTCATTGTGAAAACTCTATTTGTATTGAAAACTTGCAAGGGGACAGCATAGAGGCGTCCCTACTTTCTCGATGATGATTTAACAACCGACGAATGGCGTCGAACCTCTGCATTCGGTGTACACCATGGATCCTGAGCCAAGGGCGGATTCAGGTTTTCACCTAGGGGGGCGCAAACGATATTTGGGGCTGGTCATTTTTTAAGCTCAGTGGAACTTCTAGAATTTATCATACTATTGCTCCTTAAATCCATTGTGTTATATCTAGTCATGGCCAGCTTGAAAAAAAAACATGGAAATTGCTCAGAAATAATCAGAAAGCCAATATTTTATTATATATGAGAACAAAATAAGTACGTGGCATTTATAATTAACTAGTGTAATAATATTAAAGATTCAAACATAAAAAACTTCATTGCTCTGTTAGCCGACAAAAAATAAATAAAACATTCTGAGGGACCCCGAGACAAATCCCAGTCCATTCCACACAAAACAACGTCTTTGATTGCGAAAACGAACTTGAGACCAAAAAATTCACATTATCCTATGGACGCTAGACAAGACAAAGAAGAATGTATAGACCATCTATATAGTAGATCGTGTCTTGAGACCATCTAAAGACTGCCTATAGATGAATTGCGCAACGGGGTCTACTAGTATGTACTAACCTTCAGGAGTAAGATTCTGGACTGCCCATTTAACAAATCAACTAAGTGGTGTAAATACTGACACAATCAAGCACTTCTATTATATCAGCAGTATGAGGCATGTATTCCTCCATTCCGACGTGGATAATTTCGGTTATCGAAGAACAGACAGCCGACGCATCCGCGTCAGTGAAACAGTCATTTTTCCAAGGAAAGGTAGAGAAGAAATCTCCGAGCCCCTCCCAGTTGGCATGTCGGTAATGCCAAATTTTGCGGCCTGTGCGAGTTTCTGCTGAAACAGTGGGTTCTGACCGAAACCTAACCTCCACAACACATTGGTCTGAGTTACCCAGGGGAGACATGACAGCAGAGCTGTAAGGGACAGGATGCGGGGTCAGAAAGAGATCCAGCAGGATACTGGCATGTGACGAGACGCGGGGCAAAAAAAGTAGGGTCCGTCACCAGCTGGGTCAGCCCTTGAGTAAGAGTGAACGCTTTAACTGCACGACCTGCTGCATCGGTCTTGTTTGAGCCCAACCAAAGCAAATTATGGTCATTGAAATCACCGAGGAGAACTATCTCTGAAGCGGAATGATTGATGTTGAGGAAGTCGATCTTGACGGCGAGGTATTCAAGAAGGTCATCCCAGTTATGGTCTGAAGGGAGCGATAAAGGCAGCAAATAAATTTGGGGGATGTTTTGGAGTTGAGGCGAAGCCACAGAATGTCCTTCCGGGTCTGATTCCAGAGAAACATTTCTGCAGTAGGAAATACTGCTGCGGACAAAGGCCACAACTCACCCGTTCTTTCTCAGATTGGAGTGCACCTCGCAATTTGGTAAGCTAAGATGGTTAATCGGTGCGGACTCTGAGATTTTTGTCTCTGCTAAGAAAAGCATGGCGGGACGATTGGATTGCAAGTAGTGATGAACAGCATCAATATTGCTGTTAATATCGCAGATGTTCGTGAAACAAATTTTATCTTCGATGTTGTTCCCTCGAGTCCACCCTCCACCCGGACATTCTGAGAGTGGAGTGAGCTTACATCCGGAATTCTTAGTACTCGAGGGATCCATCATGATTGATTTCTTTGTTTTGGAAGATAACCGACTGCATAGCTTAGGTGAGGAAACATGCGGACATTTATGGGCACGGGCACCCTGGGAAAAGCTATAGGGTGGTACCGCCTCGGTCGACTGGTCCTTGTCTACCACCTTCACTGTGTTAATGATATTAAATTATATAGACCTAAAGTGGCACGTTGGCGGAGTGGTACCGCTACCCGGCAATCGGTACTGAGGTATTCCTAAACGCGCGTACAATCACTTGTACGGGAAGAAGTTGTATGCTGGATACAACAACTTCCGGAACAAGCATTTGCCACGGCCCCGCTCAGTAGGGGTTGGGGTTTTTGAAATTCAATATAGATGTTACAGTTATTTTGCAGACTTTCGTTGTTGAACTTAGATTTAGTTTTTGAACCGATTACATGTAGAAATGGTGGTAATCCTTGGAAAAACTATATCTGTTAGATCGTAATTATTTTGATAATGTATGTTTGTACTAAACAAGTACAGGAATACAGGTCTGTACATATTCACGTATAGTGCAGCAGCTCTGTGATTTAAACGAATTCAATATAGCAACATAAATAGACACATACGCGAGAAGGGATGCGGGACGTGTGGTATTGATTTTGAGCAACGATCGACGCAGTTTCTAGACGGGCTACAGGCGCATCGCTAAACAAATCTCATACATGTCTATTTCCAATTTAGGCATTCATCTAATATAGTGCTTCGCTGAAACACCAACCCCGAATAAAATCAGTCAAGCTTTACACACTTTTCGAATTACTATTGAGCAACAAACATAACATAAATCACTTTTTAAGTGCAATCTGAATAGCTAATATATTACCCAGATTTAGATTTGTCACAAGTTACAATACTCGTATATACGTATAAATCGTAAGAGTTGTGCTGTAGACAAGTGGTGTCAAAGAGGGACAGCATTTGGAATACCAAAGGATACCAAAAAATCATAATGCTCAGTTCATATAGCTATAACTTATAGTTAGTATGCCTCTGTCACCATGATGTGACAGAAAGTAACACAATGGTTCAAGTCATCGTTGGTTGTCAGAGCGATCCATGGGACCTTTGCTCTTGAGTCACAGTGTCAGTTTGTAAGTCTGTCAGGTCTGGTAACCCTGAAACCAGCAGCAATTTTAAGGAAAAAAAGGGGAAGGAAAGGAGAGAAGGAAGAACGAGAGCAAAGGGGAAGAAGAGAATCTTTTAGGATAGGCAGCGTTTAGGCATTGTTAAAATCACTTCACAGATTTTGATATGGTCTGAAAATATTTGATTTTTTCTAAAGATTGTGTAAAAATGCCCCAATTTTGGTTGTTCTAAGTTCACGAGTTAATTTTGATTACAGTGCGAGCCGCGGCCTTTTGTGCTTGCGAACTTGCTCGACTGTGTAGTCCACTGACTCACGCAACAGAGTGTTGCTGTGCGATTCCGCTAGGCTATAGCGCCGCTGCGCCTGTTGCTTAATGTAGTCCTTTAGGTAAGGGACATCGAGGTCTCTATGTAGAGTTTCGTTAGAGACATACCATGGGGCATCAGCAATAGTGCGCAACGTCCTGCTTTGCAGAACCTGCAGATTTCGCATGTGTGTTTTAGCAATAAAACACCAAGCCGCACATGCGTAAGTCATTGCTGGTCTTATGACCACCTTATAGAGTCGAATCTTGTTAATCAAACTTAATTTTGACCGTTTACATAATAATGGGTAAAGCTGCCGAAACGTAATTTGGAATTTAGTTTTTAGCGCTTCCATATGGTTCCGCCAAGTCATCCATTTGTCCAGAATGACACCGAGATACTTAGCGGAGGATTCCCATGGTATACGAAGTCCATTCATTGAAACTTCAGACGGAACGCCGCGACGTCTTTTTGTACAGTAGATTGCCTGCGTTTTCGAATGGTTTATTTTAATTAGCCACCGATCCGCCCAATCTAATACTTCCTCCACCGCACTTTGCAGCCTGTCATGGACTAGGTCACCAGACCACGACTGAGCCACCAATGCAATATCGTCAGCATAGAGATAGACTTCACAGTTGCTGGGACTAGGGACGTCATGGATGTACAGTGAGTAAAGGATAGGTCCAAGCACCGAACCCTGAGTCGACAGGACATTGTCAATTTTGATCCAAAATTTCCTACCTTCAAGGAAGGATTTCAGTAGTTTTAGAAGCCAAAAAGGGAAGCCCTGTAGGATTAGTTTATACAAGAGGCCCGCGTGCCACACCTTGTCAAATGCTTTTGAGACATCCAAAAGCAAGATGCCAGTACTTTCGCTAAGGGTGAATCCTCTGGTTACACGTTCCACCAGCCTAACCGCCTGTAGCTCCGTACTATGTTCAGACCGAAAACCGAATTGCACGTCAGGAATCACATGGTGATCTGACGAGAAATTCTCAAGGTGACGTAGAATCACCTTTTCAGCGAGCTTAGACGCAGCTGACAGCAGGCTAATGGGACGATAATCCTGGGGAAATATCGAACCCACCTTCTTTGGAATCATTATAACTTCAGCGGTCTTCCACGCGGATGGGAAGTACTGGATCCTTAGCATTACATCGACTATTGCCACGAGATAAGTTAAGGACTTCCGCGAAAGCAGCTTCAGCGCCTTATTAGTGATTTGATCCTCCCCAGGTGCTTTACGCACTTTAAGGTCTTTAATATGACCTTGAATCTCTGCTGGTGTGCAATGCGGGATCTCAGGAGATACCGCTGATGTGCTAAGCAAATCTTCGGTTGAAGAAGCTTCTGAAGAAGAATCTTCTGATGAAGAAAAATCACCAACGAATGCGCGACTGTCACTGACGCCGTTGGCCCTAAAATATCTCCTGACAGATCTTACGATGTGTTGCTCCTCGTCGAGGTCATTATCAAGATCATAGCTGGGAGAGAACTGTCTTTCCATGGCATCGCCGAAAACCTCAACCTTCTCCTCTGTCCTGAAGACAATGCCTCCAGGACCGTGAATGTGTGGGATTTGTTCACGCTTTCCGTTTTTGAGCGACTTCGCCACCTTCCAGAGAGGAATGCTTGAGTCAAGCATCCCCGCCAGAAAGTCGTTCCATTGCTCATTGCGGAATTCATGAAGAGCATTTCTTACTTCATGAACAAGATTCGTCGCTCTGCGAATGTCATCAGGATGA